GCTACCACTCCAGTACTCTTGTCGTCTGCGGCTTAAGCCTGGGGTCAAGGTGACCAAACCTATTTTAACTACGTACATAGTCGTATATCATTTCTACTTTCGTTATCGTTTTCTAGGAATCTACCTTAGAAAATGAAACTCTTCAGAAGGTAGAACACTGAATCGTGTAGGACTGACATAATCGTTTGCCGCTCTGTGAGCAGGTAGGTTAATTTGTGATGGTAATTTTCGCATTTTATTTCAGTCTAAAACATGGCAGCTGTTGTATGTAATTTAAGTTTGGTTTCTTGATTTACATTGATAAACACGGTGTAAGAAAGTTTTGTTGATTGATATACTGTGAGAAACAGGTAATTATCATCAATAGTTAAAAAGTGTTTAAAGTTATTATAAAACTACAAAATCGCGAGTACAATTTTACAATTTTATTGTAGAGCACATTCTGTGATGAATCAAACTATCGATAAATTGATTACATTGATTTTTTTAATTTAAACATGCTTGTTTCTTTTCATGTACAACATATCTGTCTAATATCGCCATTACAATCTCAAACTGGTTCTTTACCCTAGCCCTAGACATAAGCCTAACAACAGTCGGCGTTACAATTGTTCTGTAGTTGACTTATTGGAATAGTCGATTCCCATGACACTTGTACGTCAATACATCTAATCGATACCAACCAAGCTGATAAAGTTCATGTGTATGCAATGTTCTAATAATAGCTAGGCTCGGTGCTGATAACGTTGTGACAGCTAGACCCAGTGCTAACATTGTGACAACTAGACCCAAACGTTGTGACAACTAGACTCAGCGCTAACGTTGTGACAACTAGACCCAGTGCTAACGTTGTGACAACTGGACCCAGTGCTTACATTGTGACAACTAGACCCAGTGCTAACGTTGTGACAACTAGACCCAGTGCTAACGTTGTGACAACTAGACCCAAACGTTGTGACAACTAGACTCAGCGCTAACGTTGTGACAACTAGACCCAGTGCTAACGTTGTGACAACTGGACCCAGTGCTTACATTGTGACAACTAGACCCAGTGCTAACGTTGTGACAACTAGACCCAGTGCTAACATTGTGACAACTAGACCCAGTGCTAACATTGTGACAACTAGACCCAGTGTTAACGTTGTGACAACTTGACCCTAACATTATGACAACTGGACCCAGTGCTAACATTGTGACAACTAGACCCAGTGTTAACGTTGTGACAACTTGACCCTAACATTATGACAACTGGACCCAGTGCTAACATTGTGACAACTAGACCCAGTGTTAACGTTGTGACAACTGGACCCAGTGCTAACATTGTGACAACTTGACCCTAACATTATGACAACTGGACCCAGTGCTAACATTGTGACAACTAGACCCAGTGCTAACATTGTGACAACTAGACCCAGTGCTAACGTTGTGACAATTAGATCCTGCGCTTACATTGTGACAACTAGACCCAGTGTTAACGTTGTGACAACTTGACCCTAACATTATGACAACTAGACCCAGTGCTAACGTTGTGACAACTGGACCCAGTGCTAACGTTGTGACAACTGGACCCAGTGCTAACGTTGTGACAACTTGACCCTAACGTTGTGACAACTAGACAAAGTGCTAACGTTGTGACAACTAGACTAAGTGCTAACATTGTGACAACCAGACCCAGTGCTTACATTGTGACAACTAGACCCAGTGTTAACGTTGTGACAACTAGACCCAGTGCTAACGTTGTGACAACTTGACCCTAACGTTGTGACAACTAGACAAAGTGCTAACGTTGTGACAACTAGACTAAGTGCTAACATTGTGACAACCAGACCCAGTGCTTACATTGTGACAACTAGACCCAGTGCTAACATTGTGACAACTAGACCCATTGCTAACGTTGTGACATCTGGGTCAAATGCTAACATTGTGACAACTGGACTCAGTGCTAACATTGTGACAACTAGACCCGGAGCTAACGTTGTGACAACTAGACCCTAACGTTGTGAAAGCTAGACCCAGTGCTAACGTTGTGACAACTCTACCCAGTGCTAACATTGTGACAACTGGACCCAGTGCTAACGTTGTGACAACTAGACCCAGTGCTAACATTGTGACAACTAGACCCGGAGCTAACGCTGTGAAATCTAGGTCAAGTGCTAACTTTGTGACACCTACACAATGTATTGTCTTTGTGACGACGTAAGCTACACTGAACGAGTGCACACCGTGTTGTGTATAAAAGCTATGTAGTTGCCAGCTTGCCCCTGCCAGTCCATATCACCTGCATACCCGCCCCTTTCGTGACTGTCACTTTAGGAACAAACTATACCAGGAAGTGGGTTTTTCTAGTACACAATGGCCAACTGTTTCTTCCAGACTTTTTTCTTCCGGGGGGGGGGGGGGGAGAGAGGGGGGAGGCACTTGAAATTTTCGGAGAGGGGGGGGGGGGGGTCCTACGTTCTGGCGTCGTTACAAAATTCTCAAATCCACCCTCATTAAACTGACACAAGATTCAATAATCTTCCGAAACAAATATAATTTGAACCAAAGTTATGTCCATGTCATTTTATTTTTAAAATTTTAATATTTTTTAGAATACATTTTTATTTTACTTTTCTCACTTTTTTTTTACATTTTTAACCACCACCAAGCCGTCCAGAGGCGTAGCGACCCTTCCCGGCGCCCGGGGACAAACTTTCGATTAGCACCCCTCCTCCTCGAACTTTTGATTTACACCCTCCTCAAACTTTCGATTTGCCCCCCCCCCCCCTCGAACTTTTCATTTGCACCCCCCCCCCCCTCAAACGTTCAATTTGTTGTTCCAACCCATTTTGGCGACCCCCCCTAAGGTCGGCGCCCCGGGACATATGTCGTCCTCCCGCCCCCACCGCTCGCTACGGCATTGCGGCCGTCCACGTAACGTTGCACATCATAACAAAAGTTAGCCTCCCTCACTGAAGTTTAGTTTGTGACTAAAATTAATTGATGAGATAAGCATTGGGAGTTGGGTGCCTGGAGAAAATGGTTTATGTGAATGTTACAAAAGCAACTGTTACTCCAGCCTTGCACATGTTACTTCACACTCTATAAAGCAGCAACAAGCCCTATTCTATGGACTACTGCAAATTTAATCTGTTTACATTTTGCGAATCATGTATTGATTTTATATTCTACAAACCCGATCGCTCTGTTTAAACTATTCATAAACTGTACCCTTTGACCCTGCCCCGTATGTTAAAAAAGCTCCTCAATGATTCCTTGCCCTTTTAAATTACATAGTTTAAATCAATGGTTGGTCAACGTGTTCTCAAATCTCTGATTGGGTGTACTAAAATGGTAAGTCACTGGTGAGATCCAGCTTTGTCCTGGTGTTGGGTGTTATTGGGACAATGGTTCACAAAACTCTGGTTATATGTTAAAAAATATACGGTGATTGGCATAGTTTGTCAACGGTTTACTAGTCTGTTTTTACACGTGGTTTGTTCTTGCAAAAATGCATCCCCACGTTCAATTTATTTAGATAACATACTATAACGATATCAATACAGTTAGGTGTAACTATTGCAGAAAATTGTAGAAACAAGGACAGGTGCAAAGTGGCCTACCTTGAGCTAAACGCATGGGCATAGAAGAAAGGTTAAATATTACTTAATCGATATGTTATTTTAAGCCTGGGTACTTTGTACGCTACAGTCGATTTACAGATTTTACAGGTGTTTGAATGTGTAGAATTATCACATTGATCGTTTGCAGTTTTGCGAACGTTTATAAAAATCATTTCTTTTTTAAGGGGCAGTATCACCCAGACTAAGGAAGAGAAACAAAAATATTCATACACAAAATAAATATTAGACATACACATGTCAAATGTTTACAGTGGTAGTAACGATGCTTCTGCTATAATACAGTATAAAATTTGTCGGGTATAACACAATGTTTTCTAAAAATTGATTTTTGTCATATTTTAGTACATTTCTACATTTTTTGTAAACAATTTTACGAAACCATAAGTAGAGTACTTAAAATTTGGTATAAAGTTTCCTTACGTTACAATCTATCGTTGGTACAATCATACAATTCTAATGCAAGACAAAGTTTATAGAAAATTTCAAAAGTCCCTCCTTAGCATGAAACAGAAGCGTCATTCCCTTTTGAAAGGCGTGTTACATTTTTAGGATGAGAGTTAAGTCTATGGTAAGGATTATAAATCTGATTTAGGTTAAGATTTAGATTAGGTATCGTTATAAACATTTCAATAAAAAGTGTATAGGTTGCATAGTTTTATGCCTCTATGTATATAAGCAACCTTTTGATTTAAATTATACAACGAACAAAGGATTGAATTTTCCTATGTCTGCCTGAAGAATGTCTATCCTTGTAGAAATGTACTGAATTTTAAGCCAACATGGTCAGTTGCAGAGGTACTTTTGTCATTGATTTTGGGAGGGGGGGGGGATTTAGTTTGCCTACGCCACTGTTCATCGTAACGATACATCTTCATAGTTTTATGGGAATGCTTTCATAAACTGCACTTGCTAAGATTATCTGTTTATTAGCGTACTAATATTCCCCAGTAATTGTTTGACTGAAAAATTCTAAAAAGTATAACATTTGTCACAATGAATATCTTCTAGTTCTAACGGTAGGCTACCGTGCTATGCATCTCCTTGAGTATTTTCAGCAGCAAGGGCCTAACTGTTGGAAAACCGCAGCCCAATATTTCGTATTAAAAATTTTTGAGGAAAATTATTTATAAAAAATGTTTGCATCATACGTTAAGTTTATTTTATGTGCTGTTTTATAGCTTCTTGATAGTAACTATTATGGTAAAAACAAATTATGGGTGTATGTATAATAGGTTTTTTTGCTAATTTTTTCGTCAATTTTCAAATGTCTGGGTGATACTGCCCCCTTAAAACGTTGTTTATAAGTTGGCCTGTCCTTTTGATATTGAAGAATTTATTTATTTTATTTTTGCAATCCTACTTATTTCTTATAGGGCTTCTGGTGTTGAGACCAGCTTCGATGATTGAACCAATGCTTTAGGATGAAAGAAAAAGGTCAAGGTGAGTGTCCTGATCAGGATTGGCCAATAGTTCAAAGTCGTGGACGAAAAACTGTGACACTTGAACAACAGGCAAATGGGTTGAGTTTTTTCTGGTCTGCCGATGAACTTGCAGGTGAAGTTCACCAAAATGGCGGAATACCAAACGCTCAGAGTGAGACACCAGCCGTGAAGTACGCTGAGGTCGCCAAGCTGAATGGAGCTGGAGCTGTCACTGTTCAACAAAATGGCGTTGTATCTTACCAAAGCAAAACGAGCATTACCGAATCTAAACAAGATACGAAACAGCAAAACAAATCACTAAACAAAACGCAGCAGAGTGCCTCGAGAAACGACCCAGTTCACAGCCAGCCTGATCCCACAGCCGCACACAGACCCCGCAGTAAGGGAGAAATAACGGACAAGCTGTTGGCAAGATGGCTGAGGTCGGGTAACCCGGCGGAAGTCCTTTGTGCTATGACATCCATGCAGACGGCCCTAGAAAGGTTTCTTATGTCAGACTTCATAAACAACGACTCGTTCTTTTCTTTCGTCAAGGCGGTAGAACTGGCCACAAAAGCCGCGTATATAAGACAAACTCTATCCGAACTTCTGGAAATCTTGTGTGACAATAAATTCTTTAGCAAGCACGCCATCAACTTCTTTCACCTGACAATACCCAAACACGGCTGCAATACTCGAGTGGAAGCCATGAAATCATTAGCTGATATATTGATGTGTACTGTATACGTTTTACCAGCAAAGGCCACTACTTGCATGACGACCAGCGTGCAGTTACAAAATATCAGAAATAGTTCAAAAGATTTACAAGGAATGAAAGAATTAAAGGAGAAATTCGATACACTGTACAAGACGGCTAAGGAAATGTACACATCTGTTAATAAACAGACCTCAGCCTCAGAGATGCAGATTTCTGATGTGGACCAGAAATCACCAGAAAGTTTCCGAGACCTTCCTGCATATCCCACCCTGATGGATGTCAACAGAACTTCTGACACCTACCTGCAGAAAGCTGTTGTTCAAGGCGCTTACATAGATGTTGAGCACTACCTTGATGTCCAGTTTCGGTTGATGAGGGAGGATTTCATCATACCCCTGCGTAAGGGCATCGCAGAGTTAAAGAACAATCCTGACAAGATACGTGACAAAACGTCGGATCTAACACTCAGGTTATACCGCGGTGCTAGGATAACTCGAGTATTCGATAAGCACCAGCTAAAATACTCTGTCAAATTTGACAAAATGAGACGAGTCAACTGGAAAGCCTCAAAACGACTTATAAATGGTTCGCTCGTCTGTTTCTCCAAGGATAATTTTACGACAATTATTTTCGCTACTGTGTGTAGTCGAGATCAGATTAGTGGAGAAATAGAAGTCGACATCAAAAGCGGTCTCGATGATTTACTTAGCAACAGTCCATACGATATATACATCATGGCGGAGGCGACAAATCTATTTGAACCCTACTTTCATGTACTTAAAGGATTTCACGAGATGTCCCAGTCCATGCCATTCCAACAATATGTGATCAGGTGTGAAACGACGCTTAAGCCACCAAGATATTTGCTTTCAAAAACCCAGACTGTTCCTAACTATAATTTGTCCTGCTTTATGAACAAGGACAAATTTTGGATGTGTCCAGTACTGACGACAACAAAATGGCCGCCATGTGAGAGCATGTGTTTAAACAAGTCACAAAGAGAAGCCGCCATCTTAGCCCTGACAAAAGAAATGGTGCTCATTCAAGGTCCTCCAGGGACAGGAAAAACGTATGTAGGTCTCAAGGTCATGGAGGCCATCATGAAAAACTTGGATGTTGTGTTCGGCACTGGGCCAGCCACTCCAATCTTGATTGTCTGTTACACGAACCACGCCTTAGATCAGTTCCTGGAAGGGATTTTAAAGTTCTGTGACGACGGCGTAGTTAGGGTTGGTGGGGGAAGTAAATGTGAAAAACTTCAACCATTCCTTTTAAAAGAACAACTAAATAAGAATAGAAACAACAGCACCAAAAATAGTAACCGCTATTCCATTTTTAAAGCAAAAAATGAGTGCTTTGAAAACATGAAGGAGATTGTGACAGAAATAAATCGGCTGAGTCAGCAGCTTGCTACGATAAAATCTGGTGTGAAATCTGAGGAAGAACTAAGGAAATACATAGACGATGTCCACTACGACTCTCTCTGCAATGATTGCCCAGAATCTGGCTACAACATTTCCAAAATGTCGCAGTGGTTGAATTCTGATGAGGAGGATCACCAAGACTCGCTGCGGAAAAGAATTGAGGATTTTTTATACAAACTGGTGTTAAACTGGGATTTTAGGATCAATCTTGACGAAGCGAGCAAGGTTGTTTCCATGGATATAACCGGACGAGCCAGCTTATACTACACGGCTGTTTTAAAACTTAGAGAGGTGCTAGAAAACGAGATGGCGGTTCTGTGCATGCAAAATGAACCTGAAGAGGTAGCTACAAAAATAGATGAGTTAAAACAAAAGATTGATCAGACTAGAAGTCGAATAGTACCGGATACAGAGATCGAACAGTTCTTACCTGAGTTCGAAACTATTCAACGTTTTATGAAAGGCAAGAAAGTGCAAGAAGAGGGAATGTTGATAAAAACTTGGATCATAGGACCAAACAGAGGAATTAAAGACCAGTTCGATGATATTGAGACTTTAGTTAAAGACATGGGGATTACAGGTGTAGATTACTTCGAAAGTAGCGACATTTTATGTTCCATTGAGTTGACAACAATAGACAACGACGACGTTGATGACATTGATGAATTCGACGACTTAAATGATGTTGAATACAGTAGCCTTGACAGAGACTCAACAGACGAGAGTCATGAGCTGACCATCAAAGACTACATGAACTACAATAAAATGTCGGACCAAGTAACCCGGTTACTACATCTCGTGCAGAACAGCGAAGAGAGTAGTTGGACAGTCGTGGACACCAAGAAAAACTTGCAACTCCTTCCTGGCTGGATGACAGAGGACCATATGGCCGAGGGGCAAGCTGCATCTATCACAAACATTTGGAAACTTAACGAGACTCAAAAACATTCTTTGTACAATTTGTGGACTCAGCGGTTTCGGCTGGATATTCTTGAAAGTTTGCAATCTTTGCTTGACAAACACAATTCGGAAGCTCAAAAAATGGAAGAGTTTGGGAAAGAAGAAAAACTGTTAACTTTAAAATCTGCTAAAATTATTGGCATGACAACAACTGGAGCAGCTAAACATCGTTCTCTGCTTGAAGCTGTGGGTTGTAAAATTATAGTGGTTGAGGAGGCGGCCGAGGTATTTGAGTCCCATATAATCACAGCACTGAACGCACATTGCAATCATCTTATCCTGATTGGTGACCACCAACAGCTGAGGCCGAAACCAAACGTCTACGAACTGGCCATTGAATACGGTCTAGAGGTTTCCTTGTTTGAGAGACTCATCAAGAACAACGTCCCACATGTTGTGCTTAAGGTACAGCACAGAATGCGGCCTGAGATATCAAAACTTATGCTTCACATATACCCTGAGCTCGAAGATGATGACTCAGTGTTAGAATATGATCACATCAGGGGAGTTGAAAAAGATGTTTATTTCATCAATCATACCAATGTAGAATCCCAAGTAGATGACAGCTTAAGTAAAGAAAACATATACGAGGCGGAATACATGGTGGCTCTATGTCAGTACCTTCTCGACCAAGACTACAGCCCACAATCTATTACCATACTTACAACTTACGCCGGGCAACTGCTAGCTCTAAAAAGGCTAGCAAGGGATGAATCTCTGGATCCGAGTGTGAGAATTGCTGTCGTTGATGACTTTCAAGGTGAAGAAAACGACATCATCCTGCTCTCTCTTGTGAGAAGTAACAAAAAGAAAAGCGTTGGGTTTTTAAAGATTGACAACAGAATATGTGTTGCTTTGTCTAGAGCTAAGAAAGGTTTATATGTAATAGGAAATTTTAGCATGCTGTCTTCGCAAAGCAGTCTGTGGAGAAAGATTGTTGAAGAAACTCTGAAATGTAACATGATAGGAGATGGCCTGCCAATCTGCTGCCCAAGTCACCCTGAGAACACACTTGTGATTAGAAGTGCTAATGACTTTAGGTTTCGTCCTGAAGGGGGGTGTGGAAACCCGTGTGAGAAGCGACTCCCATGTGGACATGTGTGTGATCGCCCCTGTCATGGGAATGACCCAGAACACATCGAACACAAATGTAAGAAGAGGTGTGCTAGGACGTGCAAAGAAGGTCACACGTGCAGACGGCTGTGTTTCAAGGACTGTGGAATGTGTGAGGTTTTTGTTACAAAAACTCTCAAATGTGGACACGAGGCAGCCATGCCCTGTGGACGTGATCCAGACGATCACGATTGTGAAGCGAGGTGTCCTGAGATTTTTGACTGCTCGCATCAATGTTCTGGAAAATGTGGCAGATGCTCAAGACATAGGGAGCATCCTCGTTGCGAAACTAAAGTAGCCTACCAGTTCCAGCCGTGTGAAGATGTAAACGATATTCCTTGTTACAAAACCAAAGAGGACCCACCTTGCGAGAGAATTTGTAACGAAATCTTAGACTGCGAGCACCGATGTAAAGGCATCTGCTCTGACTGTTCAAAAGTTGGTCATAGAGCTTGTCCCGAGATTTGCAATAAGATTCTTGTCTGTGGTCACGCGTGTAAAGGCAGATGCAAGAATTGCACCAGCAATGAAGAACACTCATCATGTAATGAAAAATGCAACGCGAAGCTTGAATGTGAGCATCAATGTCAAGGAAGATGCGGAGATTGCGCAGAGAACCCCCACCCGAAATGTAAGCAGACATGTAAAGGAATTCTTGCTTGCTCTCACCAATGCGCAGGTATTTGTTGGAAGTGTACAGAAAACACGCATGAACAATGTAAGAAAATTTGCAACGCTCTTCTTTCTTGCAAGCACAAATGTGAAGGTCAGTGTGGTGTCTGCTCACTCAAAGGCCACGGCACATGCATGAGACCATGCAAGAAAGAACTCGCGTGTAAACATACTTGCAATGGACTTTGCGGCCAATGCTCGGAAAATGGACATCCTAAATGTTTATCGACATGCAGTGCTACGCTGACGTGTGGTCACAAATGTATTGGAAAATGCGGGGACTGCTCAGAGAAAGGTCACGCAAAATGTCATGACAAATGCAAGAAGAAGCTGCCTTGTACACATAAATGTAAGGGAGATTGTGGCGAATGTTCGGAAAAGGGCCATAGCAAGTGCCCAGAAATATGTAATAAATTACTTCCTTGCAGACACAAATGCCAAGGAATCTGTGGCGAATGTGCAGAAAACGGCCTACATTCAAAATGTCTGAAACCATGCAGTGCTGAACTTCCTTGTAAACATATTTGCAAAGGCCAGTGCGGAGACTGCTCTCAAGGAACCCACAAGCAATGCCAAGATGAATGCAAAGCTCTTTTTCGATGTGGGCATCATTGCACTGCTGTGTGTGGTAGTTGTAAAGAGGGAGGTCACAAGCAATGCCACGCTGATTGTAATAAACATCTTCCGTGTGGGCACATGTGCCCTGGGGTGTGTGGTATCTGCCAGAACAGTGGTCAGCACAACGAGTGTCAGGAGAAGTGCACAAACACCCTCATATGTGGGCACAAATGTGCTGGCACATGTGGACAACCTTGCGTGCCGTGTAAAGAAAAATGCCCTTTTAGTTGCAGACACGGTTCATGTTGCGGCGAGGTGGCTAAACACTTGTGTGGTGAGCCTTGTAATCCATGCAGAGCTATCGATTTCTTCCGCTGTGATCACGGTGGTCAAATGATCAGAAATTGCTTTGATAAATGGCCTAAGAAACCATGCGAACTGAAGTGTGCGAAGAGAATGAAAGTCGTCTCGTTTAACAATGGGAAAAAGACAATTTGTCGACACCCGTGTGCGGGTATTTGCGGCGAGATTTGTGTCTGTAAGGTCTGTGAGCAGGTACGGCCGATAAAAAAATTTAAAGTTCTAAACATTTCTTCACCCCAAAACCAAAAGCCCATAAAACAAGAGCGGTTGATTATCAAACTCCCTTCCTGCCTTCACGTATTCTACGTGGACGAGCTAGATAATTATGTTGATAACTACGACCCCAATGGCACCAAATTTCTTAAGTGTCCAGTCTGTCAGAAACTCATCACAAACTGCCCACGATACGAAAATATTTCTAAAGAACGTTTCGCAAAAAGGGAAACTCTCAAATCCCAAGGTATCGTGTACATTCCAGGGCCTGTTAGCAGAGAACCCAAGAACAAGAAAAAGAGAGAAGATAAAAATGTGCCAACAAAAGAAGATGAAGCTGATATCCCGGACTACGTGGCGGCTGCTGTAGCAGCTACTGAACAAAGTCAGAAACGTGGGGCAAAGAAAAACCAAGCGAATGATAAAACTAACGGAGACAGTTCAGATGATGGGGCTCGAGGATCAACTGCAGTTGAAATCGACGAGAAGGGCCACAACCAGAGAGGAAATAACACTGGTGATGGTAATAATGGAAAAGACGGCTCGGGGGGTGATGAGTGTGGTGTGGAAGAATCAGAAAAAAAGAACCATAGTTCCAGAAAAAATAGGAAAAATAACAAGAATTTGAAATCAAATCAGCGGACATCAAGTTCATCTACGTGTTCCCAAGCAAGAAGTGAACAAGATACGCGCGATAGAGTTGCAAATAACGATGGCGCCAAAGGCGGAAATACGCCAGCTGTTCAAGGCAAACTGACTAAAAAACAAAAGAAAATGAACAAGGTTTTGAGCAAGGTGGGCGGTCATGAAGCGGCTGCTTCCACTTCATCTGGGACGATGACAACTGGCAATGGTTTCCAAAATGGTGATATTGAAAAGAAGAAAAAAGAATTCAACTATTCTCCGTTCAAACGTCGCAAAATGATCAACAGTGCTATGAAATCTGCCGAACATTCCTCAACGACTGATGATGCCACATCGTCTGCAACAGCCTCCGGGGGTAAAAGCTACAACTCCTCAACAGATTCTGTAGGTAAAAGCTACAACCCCTCAACAGATTCTGTAGGTAACAGCTACAACCCCTCAACAGATTCAATAAGGAAAAACAGTGAAAGCTCTGGAGGTTTTGATCACCCAGACAAAAGAAAAAATAAAGGAAAGAAATCTTTTATGGAAGATTCCAAAGCTCAAGGTGATAGACAACAAAAAGAGAAAGATGAAGACAAGGACTCAAAATCCAAGAAATTTTCTGCTGGAAAAAAGAAACACCATTGAAGTTTTCTTTTGACATAAGACAGAATAGCCGATAAAGTCTGAAAATGGAAAAGAGATTACTTTTTTAAAGTAGATCTAACTAATTTCTTTATACATTACCTGTACATTACCTGTTATAGTTAGCTAACATTGTTTACAAGTGTTGCTTATTACAATGCCTTGAATCCAGAAGAGTATTTTTATAAACCAAACTGCTTTACTAATTACTAGTATAATTCTTATTCCATTTGAGTCATTTTACTTTAAAATGTGTAGGCATACGTGTGTTTTGTTTTATTAGCAACTGATAAAGCACAAAATCTAGATACATTTTAAATATTCAATTTATTGTGTAACTTTTATAGACTTTTTTTAAAAACTTTGCTAGGTTGGCTATGCTTTCTTTATTACATAGATCTAGATGCTTGTTAATATGTTTTAAAACTGTTGATACATTTACCATGTCGTGCTGTTTGAGAGACGTAGGCCATGTAGACAAGATTAATCCATCTCTCACAGAAGCAAGCCTGCGTTTACATTTACGTGCTTTTTGTCAAACAGTGTTTTTTTTAATTTTAATTATTTCTTTATTTTGCAATTTCTTGCTTTGTTGTTATCTAATCTTTCTTGTAGGATAATACAGGGAATACTGTTTGAGTGTTACTTTAGATTTACGTGAGGAAATCATTTACTCATATGCTCAAGAATGATATTTTCAAAGTATATATTTTCGTCATTGTTTATTTAACTTTATTATTCTAGGCCTGCTTATAGTAAAGAGGGAACGGCGGGTATGAGGGACTGAGATTGTGGTGACGTCAGTTATCAATAACAATTTATTGGTTATATTGTCAAATATTTAAAATGCACTAATTATTAAGAAGTTAACTTTCATCGATATTGAATTAATATTTATCTTTATACCTCTTGTATTACTGGATTGTAATTTAATCACTTCGAAAGTAGACTTTATCAAGTGGATCTATCTATAAGATCAGTCATGATGAATACTTATATTTTTTTTAAAATAAGTTTAATAACATAAGAGTCATTATACAATATTTATTCACAATCTACTATTTTGTTTATGGTTTTATTTAGTACCCTACTTGATATAAATGTTTTTCCAACTAGATCTAGTTCTAGTCATAATTTAATTAATTTTGTATAATGAAACTTACTTGATGTTTCCATCCATACCAGATCAATTTGTAAAGTTTTCAGCCACTTTCTGTTCGTTGGGAATAGTCCAGTTCCACAATAGCATGCCATTTCTAAACTAAATATAGTTTTGTATTTTTTATTGTATATACAATATTTTATAGTTGTTTTTTTATGTAGTTTTTTTTTTAAATCTTTAATGACAAAGCTTGTGGGTTTTTTTTACGTGAACTGTTATTCTTCTACTGCAGTTTCATTTAAACTATAAACTTGAATCGCTTTGTATAAAATAAATGTCAATTGATTTTCCCACGTTTTCTTTAACTTGCTTTCTCTGTTTGTTTGTTTGTTTTTCCAATCAAATCTTGCGATCGAAATTTCTGGCACTTCCCAGTTAGCTAGCGAGCTGAAATTTTCAGGGAAGCTTTCTTTTGGATGACCATAGAATATTCAATTGTTATTATTACTAAATTGATCAATGGAAACATTTTATTGAGCATTTTAGACCGCTATATAATCTATATATATAATTCTCCTCTGCGAGCCATTAGAAAAAAAACGAGCGACGCGTAGCTCGCCTCTCTCTTGCCGCGCGCAGTGAAGCGAACGATCCCACGTCGCGACAGGCTTAGGGGCAGATAATTTAGTTTGAACCGACTTTAAACTTACAGGAGGTAACTATTACCACTGGTGGCCAGTTTGGGGGAGACGATATGGTCGAGTGGTTGGGCACACGATTGCTATCCCACTCGACACGGGTTCAAATCTATGTGTTCTAGTCAGTAACCAGCCCTCGTCCTAACCGCTATCAACTAACCTCTGACAATCATTCACTTGCGATTGAGACCGAAGAAGAAAGGGTCTCTCGTTTTTTACGAGTTGTCTTTTTACGAGTTGTCTTCGTTTACCCAAAAAAAAGTTGTAATAGATTGAAATAATTGTGAGGTCAAGGGAACTCACTCTTCTGTATTAGTATTATATTTATATTGTTATCTTGAGTGATGTCCCTTGCATGTTGTTATGTATATAAGTCTCTCGCCACTTCTCTCTTCCTCTCTTTGCTTCATGGCGTCTGTACATAATAAAGATTGTTAACACCAACGCGGCTTCTCGTCAGTCATTACAATCCACTTCATTTGGCGACGAAGGATAAACATCTACTAGAAAGAGCACCTACTTACGCAAAAAAGAGGTTTGCTAGAGCTTATTAGCTAATTATTTCTAGAATTATGGCGCTGTATGGCCAAATAAAAGAATTTGATGCGAATGATGAAATCATTCAAGATTACCTAGAGAGGTTAAGCTTTTACCTAGAAGCTAACGACGTGACGATAGAAGCCAAAAAGAGAGCTGTTTTGTTAACAGTCATAGGGCCTCAACAATTTAGGCTACTAAAAGACTTATGCGCACCAGCTAGTCTAAATACCAAGAGCTTTAACGAGCTGAGCAAATTGCTAACAGACCACCATGCGCCTACCCCATCAAAGTTTTTATGTAGAGCTAGATTTGACAGTAGGACTCGTCAACCAAACGAGTCAATATCAGAATATGTTGCTGCTTTACGTCATTTAAGTAGATTCTGTGAATTTGGAGAAACGCTGTCTGACAGACTATGTGAAAAGTTTGTGACAGGTGTAAACAGCCCTGATATTCAAAGAAAGTTGCTGCTCGAGTCAGATCTAAAATTAGAAAAAGCAATACAACTTGCAATGTCATTCCAGCAGTCATCAGATGCGGCGAAATCTCTTACGCCTTCAGGGATCCATGCAGTAAACAGCAGGTTAGTCAATAAACATCAACCCCATCAGAGCATTCCAACTTATGCTAAACAGCCTGCTCGTTCAAATCCTAGATCTAAATCTAGTAATAATTATCAAAAATGTCATCGATGCAAAGGTCCCCATGCATCTCATCAGTGCAAGTTCAAGTCTGCAACTTGTTATAAGTGCAGTGAGCAAGGTCACATTGCTAAGGCCTGCTTTGCAAAGTCTTCGTCTGTTGCTAAATCTAGCCAGTCAAGACAGTACCGCAACCAAAGGCAGCACTATGTTAACTCTCACCAAGACTACCTAACCCAACCAATGAACCACTCTACCTGTGAAAATGCTCAAACTGATTCGCAGCCGGATTTCAGCCTGTTCTCTGTAAAATCAATAAGTCATGCTCCCATCAATGTACCAGTTAATATCAACGGTAAGAGCATCAGCTTCCAACTTGACACTGGAGCATCTCTAACAGTCATAACAAAGAAAGATTTTGACGCTGTCACAGAAGGATCAGTGTCTCTACAGCCATGTCACAAGTGTCTAACAACATACACTGGTGACAATGTTCCGGTAATAGGAGAGTGTATGGTTCATGTAAGTTATAATGGTCAAAGTGTTAAACTTCCTCTTCTTGTGGTTGAAGGAAATGGACCGCCATTACTAGGTAGGAACTGGTTAAGTGATCTTAAGTTAAATTGGGAGAGTATTTGTTCATTGAAGAATGTAAAAGAATCTAGTCTTACTTCACTAGATAAAGTAATATCTGAAAATAAATGTGTTTTTGGTAATCATGGATTACTAAATGATAGAACAGTGAAGTTAAGCATTAAAGACACAAATCCAAGATACTGCAAAGCTAGAGTTCCACCTTATGCAATGAGGAATAAAATTGAAAATGAGCTAAGTAGATTGGAATCTAATGGCATTATAAAGAAGGTAGACTATTCCGATTGGGCAACGCCCATTGTGCCAGTGTTAAAGAAGGATGGTTCTATAAGAATTTGTGGAGATTATAAAACTACACTGAATAAGCAAATAGAGCTAAATAGGTACCCTATACCTAACATTGAGGAAATTTCTTTGAATTTGGCAGGAGGAGACAAATTCACTGAATTAGACTTTAGTCATGCTTACACTCAACTAGAACTGCATCCAGATTCAAAAGTCTATACGACCATAAACACACATAAAGGACTCTACCAATATGAAAGACTATGTTTTGGCATATCATCTAGCCCTGGAATTTTCCAAGCTGTCATGGACAGTATTTTTAAGGATATTCCAAATGTTTGTGTGTACTTTGACAATGTGTACATAACTGGTAAGAATGACACTGAACATCTTAAAACACTTGATAAAGTCTTGAAAATTGTTGGTGAAAAAGGTTTAAAGATAAACAAAGATAAATGTCAATTCATGCTGACAGAAATTAGTTTTCTTGGTTATATATTAAGCAAGCAAGGTATCAGACCTCAACCTGAGAAAACAAAAGCCATTAAAGAAGCACCCAAACCTGAAAATACCCAACAACTAAGAGCTTTTTTTGGGCTTGATAAATTACTATGCAAAGTTCATAGGAAATCTGTCTGGTAAACTATCACCACTGTACAAGCTGCTACAGAAAAATGCAACTTGGCACTGGGGTAAACAACAAGAAGCTGCTTTTAATACAGCAAAAGAGGCTTTGTCTGCTGACACCTTACTAACTCACTATGACCCAGGGAAAAGACTTGTATTGACATGTGATGCTTCACCAGATGGTGTAGGAGCAGTCTTGTCCCACATGGATGAGAAGGGTGACAGACCCATTGCTTTTGCCAGTAGATCTTTGAACCAGGCTGAGAAAAATTATTCTCAGTTAGATAGGGAAGGCTTAGGCATCATTTTTGGTGTTAAGAAATTTCATAAGTTTCTGTTTGGTAGGAAGTTCACCATCTTTACAGATCATAAACCATTGCTAGGTTTATTTGGAGAAAACAAAACCCTACCTGAGCATGCCTCACCAAGAATTCAAAGATGGGCTATCACACTAACTGCATACAATTATGAATTGAAATACAAACCTGGATCTGAGAATAGTGCAGATAGTCTTAGTAGATTACCTTTAAAAAACCAAAGCCTGAGCTATGTACCAGAAGATGTATTTGTTCTCTCCACTATCATGGATAACTCCAATATAAATGTGAATGATATTAAAAGAGAAACACAAAAAGATGAGTGCTTAATAAAAGTATATGAGCACTGTATGAATGGTTGGCCTGAAGAGTCTGTGAATGATGACTTAAAGCCATATAAAATAAGAAATTAAAACCCTTTGTGAAGATAATATAAAAGATGGAGAAGATGCAGTCCATTATCAGTCAGAGTTGCCTAAACAAAGTACTTGTAACTTAATAAATGATTATGGTGATATGGCAATTTCAAATGTCTTAAAGAGAATACATTAGTAAGAAGGAATGTGATCATCAAACAACTTTGCTAACATCATTAGCACTTACAGAAACTAAAAGGGTAACATCAAAAGAAAAGAGCAAAGATTTTTGCCATTGAATACACCCACTTCAAATACTGGATCACAGTTGCAAAGTGATATTGTCCAGGATATTACTTTTAAACAGTATGTTTGGTTACGAAAAAGCACTATCAGATTACCTGAGGAAATTGATCAATCAAAGAAATCTATGCCAGTTAAGGATCTGAATAATAGCATAATACTTTCAGATGCCAATTAAAAAAGTAAATCATGACAGAACACCCATTGAAAGAGAATTTGGTGTTAATGAGAATGTGTATCTGAGAAATTATGGGAGAAAGGAAAAATGGATACCAGGTCAAATTGTTCAATGTACAGGACCTGTGTCTTATAAAGTTAAAAATAACTTGTGCAGATAATAAGTGTGAATCTGCCAATCCCACCAAATCTGAACAGTTCACACCAACTCAGTTTGTTTCACAACCAAGTTCTGTTGATATGAGTGAACCAAGTTGTCTGGAGTCAGAAAATGTAAATTCTGGAGTTAATGATTTAAATCCTAGACCTCCTGAGATAGAGAATCCAGATGGTCAGAATATTGAGTCACCAAATCAAAAGCCACTGAGAAGGTCAAGCAGGACAATCAAGGTCCCAAATAAGTTAGACCTATGATTCTAAAGGTCAAAAGGACTTTGACATTATTGTTTTGTATCTTGATTATGTTGTGGCATATTGTGCATTGTTTGTAAGGATGTAATCTACCATAGTGTTCATGTTACAATATAATTGGTGATTTTAGGATACTATCAATTGTTCTATTGAGAGATGTGTTATTGTGTTCTAAGGGTAAAGGGATGTAATAGATTGAAATAATTGTGAGGTCAAGGGAACTCACTCTTCTGTATTAGTATTATATTTATATTGTTATCTTGAGTGATGTCCCTTGCATGTTGTTATGTATATAAGTCTCTCGCCACTTCTCTCTTCCTCTCTTTGCTTCATGGCGTCTGTACATAATAAAGATTGTTAACACCAACGCGGCTTCTCGTCAGTCATTACAATCCACCTCAAAAGTGAAAAGATAAAAT